TTATAAAACATTTCATAGAAAAAATGTCCTTTCTTAATTAACAATGTCGAATAGCATCTATTAATCGCAACAACGTACAAATTTCATAATATGCTTCCTCGTTTGTCTGTGAGCCTCGGCTGCTTGTCTCGCTTCGTTATAAATGTCGTTATGCATTCTATCAAAAGCACGAGCTTCTTCGCTCGAGAAACGATCCTTCGCTGTTCTATCATCCACGCCCGCAGCAGAAGGATGATCCATAATCTGCCCTATCGGAAAATTTCCATCTGGAAACAATTCTGACACGGGGATAGTTGGAGGATCCGTTTGCTGCTTAATGCCTCCTGTTCCACGTGGTTTACGTTTCTTCTTCTTCTTTTTAGTTTCTTCCATTTCCATATCATTTTCTGCCATCTCTCTAGCGGGTTCTACAAAATAATCCCAATGGAATATCGTGTTGTAGAACAAATTATTTTCCAAGTAAATGTAACAATAAGTTTACCATTGCCTGTGGTGTTATCTTTTGCTTTGTCCTCTTCGCCCTCTGGAACACCTGCACTAGCTTCATCAGCTCCTATACAACAAAAATATAATAATACGATGATAGAAGTAGAACAAAACCAAGCAATTTAGAAATACTTCATGTATCTATGAAGGCACATTCGAAAATACGTTGTGAAATAAACGGTATCGAAATACGAGACAGGTACAAAGGAAATTTCCACACTGTGCTGATCTCAAATACACTTAGTAATAATTTATTTCGTTTGTTCGACTACTATTTTATCGTTAAAACGTAAAGTTCCGCCATAAAACAATAAAAAAAATGACATGCAACACTGCGAAGGAGTAAATATTAAGCGTGTTAGTTTCAAGAACGAAACATAAGACACGACACGCGCGGAACCTAAAATTGAAGTAACGAGGATACACCCAAAAAATACATCTAGGAACGTACCAGCTTTCTTCTTCTTTTTCTTTTTTTTTTTCTTCTTCGATGCTTCTACCGCGCCGGTTTCATCTTCCTCTTCGTCGACGATTTCATGTTTTTCCTCGTCCACCAGTTTGTCGGCGGATTTACCTACTTCATCCAATACGGCAGCCATTTTCGAAAGGAAGCCAAACAATCTTGAGCCTCGAAAATGAGGTTATCAGATGGTAAAGTAGAGCGTACAGACAGCAGCAAGCTAGGGAGAAACTTCTCGATAACCTCACTTTTGCGCGTTAATAATACCGAGATAATGAAACGAAAAGAGGACATCTTATTAGAAATTACGCTTAACATCAAAGGAAGAAAACGGCCCATATCGGTGTGAAATAAAATAAAATCTTTAACAATATTATTTAAAGAACTGTTTTATAATAATATGTACAAAGTATTACATAGAAATGGAGGTTAACAAAACCCCGTGTTTCGCGATCATTTCTCTCGCAACGTTAATTCTCTAATACTATAAGTAAGGAATTCGTAGCATAGATTATCGACTTTCATAGCAGAAACATTCGATACACGTACGCGTACACGTACAGTTTACGTATCGAGAACGATTTATCCGACGGAAGAAACTATCAATTCGGCAACGTCTGGGTCTTGACACAAAACGGATAGTTGCATCGTTACTTGACTACCAGACAATGCTAATCTCGCACGAGCAAGAATTTCTTTTCCACCTCTGAAAATGCCGCTCAATAACAAATTATGCGAAGTAGCACCCGATTGTACGCGATTGGATCGTTCTACGGCATCCAAGCCCAAAAATCCTGTCAGACTTTGGATCGCCCCTTCCAAACTGGTTACCGACGGACCTAAAGCGAACGTTTCCTCGAGTTTGGCGAATTCTTTTGCAACAGCTGCGTCCCAAGCAGCATTGAAATCCAATCCTCTGCTACCAATTCCCCGGACTTGATCGGCCAAAGTCACTTCCAAATCTTCAAGCTAAAAAAAAAAAGGATTAAATTATTTAGACACACACAAACGAAATCGATTTGTTTTTCCGTTTCGAACGATAAAAGAACGTACCATATATTCGTCGTTGTACCCTTGCTCGGCATCTGGTTCACCTGTCACAGGATCACAGTCACGAGCCGTGAACCGAAGAGTCGTAGGAATAGTGGTGATGCTAGCGTGAACGTCTTCCGGATATTTTAATACCGTGTACGTCGTACCAGGTTCGTTGTACGGTAAACGAGGACACATAACTTCGCAGACGACCGTATATCTAAAAACAGAGAAGCGCATCGTATCTTCTCGAAAAGTACGACATTCGCGTAAATTATATTCGAATGTACTTACCCCTCCGGTGGTTCAACGGCCACTGTTACATTGTCGAGCAATTGGTCGCAAAGAGTGTTCACGCAATCGAATTGAAGAACAAGGAGTTCCGAGAACGTATGTTTGATACATTTTACGTTGTACTCCGTTTCCGATTCCGTTAACTCGAAGACGGGCGAAGACTTGAGCAGCGACGACTCGTGAATGACCATCGCCAAGTGTGGTATCTGCGACAATTTCTCCATGAAGCTTTCTTCTCGCGTCAGACGAGGTTGCTGTTGTTTCACGGTCGAGTGTACTTCCACTTGCGCGGGTTCTTCGGCCGCTTGTGCCGGTGGTATCTACAAAACGATCAAATTGTTTAAATTGTATCCGAGCATTCGGTTAACTAAACAACGTACATTAGAACGTAAACGTAGCTACCTGGGAAATATCGAACGGGTCCTCCATAGGTGTTCGCATGTAATTTCGCAGAGCCCTTTCTAAACTGGGCACCGACAAAAGAGGTGGTTGTATCAAAGGTAACACGGTTGGGTCGTTTTGTTGTTGAAGAATAGTGCAATAGTAAGCCGCGCGATCGCGGACTTCGTCGTCGGAATCCAATTGACAACGAGACAAAAGCACCAATACGTTTGGAAGCAACGGTGGGCAAGCCGCGGCGAAACGCGCCAAAGCGGTGACGGCCGCCGCGCGTACGCTGGCGCTTTCCAAGATGACGCGATTATAGATGAATCGAATGTATCTGGACGGTTGCTTCGAAGTCGGGCCTTCCTGACCGAGTAAATGCAGAATGCGAACCGCGAGAGAAATGTGCTCGCAATCTTCGATGAATTCGCACAGATGAGCCAGACCTGCCTCCTTCGCCTCTGCGTTTCCTTCCATAACCGCGATTATCGTATCCGCGATCGCTGCCTTGTATTCGAGTCCTCCTTCGTCTCTTAACATCGATGAAAGGAAGTTCATTAGAACTGCGTGTTTGCGCGGGAACTTTTGACACAAAGCTCTGGAAAAAACAGGGGAAGAATAAATCGGGAGAATAAATGCTTCGAACCTAAGATATAAGCGGAATAAGATCGTTACCTTATAGCTTGTACGACTACGACTTTAAATTCATCCGAAATCTCTGATACGAAAGTAGCAATTTGTTTCATCAGTCGATCTACCGAGCTTTCCGCTCCAGTTTTCAAGAGAGTGGTAATCGCTAATGTGGCAATCGATCTGTTCGAGTCGGTGATCAAGTTTTCTAAATCTAAATTGCAAGCGGTAACCGCTGCTGGATGAGTCATAGCAACTTTATTCAAAGTCCGGACAGCAGCGAATCTTAAAGCGGGCTTAGGAGAACCGCAAAACAGTTGTAGAACGCTAATAGCAGGGCCTATTTCTCTAGCGCCGCTTCTTCCAAGATTTACCAACGCGTGCGCCGCTTCGTATATTACCATTTCCGACTTTTGACGCAGACAAGACTCTATGAATCCTAACAGCTCTTCCCCTTCGTCGACTTCGTCCAACAGTTTACATGCCATTCTAATTAGCATACATGCCGCGTAAGGACTTTTTGGACTGGTTCTCATAAGTTTTGCGACCAACTTAATTACAGCGTGTTTGTCCGACTTGCGAGCTTGATACAAAACACCTAGAGCATGATACTGAACCATTACATTACTAGAATTCAACGCTTCTTGAGCTTCGTTTGCCCATCTGCGCGCGACATCACCGGAAACGCTTGTTAAGTGCAACGAAGAAACCAAAGCTGCGCTAGAAACAGCAGGAGAACGATCTACGATAGCTTGTTTCATGTAACGTTCGATAGCTGCCAGCATTCCCCCATCTGTGATGGTGCATAAAGCTCTTATAGCGGCGGCTCTGTACAAATCTTCTTTTCCAGTCATGTCTTTCGTTAGACTGGATGTTACTATGATCACATCCTCTGCCAAGGAGCTCAATTCTTTGATCCCTAGATAGACCAACCTCCTTAGAACAACATCTCGAGATTGGAACAGTTTGGTCATGGCAAAGAAGGCTTCGGTAGCTTCTGTGGTACCCAACTGCTCTCCTTGATTCAACAGATATAATATTTTTGTGAGGATGTGCGCGCATTTTCTTGGATTGACCGGAGTGTCATTGAAAGTACGTGCTTCCTGAAGGACGGTTGTCTTCTCCAGATTTTGAAAGGGATTTCCTCCACCTAGAAACACGAACATCACACGTGGAAGGAGGCAGTACGTACAACGGTTTGCGCGTTATTCGTTCAAATAGTACACGTAAATATTGAATGGAAACACATCGAAAACAAGCTACGCGAAACGATGGATTTCATAGAAGAAAAATGATTTTTCACTACTAGTAATCGTCCGAACTGTTTACAAGGAACTGTCATAAGAGTACGATCGATTCGTTTAACCTCGTTTATGAACTCGAGCTTATGGTAAGACAAGACGATGTTCATTCATAATTACCATCTTCTTCCTCCTTTTTGTCCCGTTTAAAGGCATTCATGTTGCAAAACCACCGCTGGAAAACTGGAAAATAACGTACACGTCACCTCAACTCTTTCACACGGGAACCATTACAATGGACACCACGGAGTCCATAGCGGCGACTAGCTAGAACTAAACGCGACCTCGGTTACGAAAGAGATACTATCGGTCGTCGATAAGGTAGTATGTTGTATTTTAAATTAGTATAAAACAAATGTTAGTTTACATTTACTTGACGGTTTGGCGAATGAAATTTAGCATACTTTCTTGTTCGTATAAATTTTTATTTCTTATATACATAACGAACTCGGTAGAATCGTAAAAAATAGATGTTACTTATATAACGAAGACGCTTCGCTCGAGTCACTCGCTTTTTTTATCTTTTTGTTGTTTGTACAAGTTTGTTAGATCAGAGATCGCGCTTTTTCCACCGGTGGGTGCAAGCGGTGGTCCAGAACGTATCCTTTGCACAGTCTTGTTTTTCACAGACGACGAGAAACTGTTTTCTTCGGAAACATCTTTGAATGGCGTTTCGTCTTTGCCCGATTTCGTCATTTCTTTGCTCCATTTTGCCAGCCAGTCGCTGGCTTTAGTCTACGAGAAATATCATAGTAAAATCTGCCTTTGCTTCTTTCGTCAAAGTCTATAATAAGTAGAGAAATTGAGTTTTACCTTCTCGACGTTACTTTCTTCGGTGTCCACGGCATTCACCTTCTCCTCCGTTCTTTTAAATTTTTCCAGTTCGCTCTGAATTTTCCGTTCCAATTGATAGTTTGCAACCGCTTGAGCCAACGGTCCGAGTTCTCCTCTCATCGCGGCACCGAACATCGCCTGTGGTAGAAAGTAGACGTTACTCTTAATCGTAAATCTCGCGTTGCTCGTAACTCGAATCATCGGAAGATCGATTTTTATTTCCTTACATCTCGACGTCTCTTGTTATCGGCAGTGCCGATCGGATCCGTTTCGGTCTGGGGTCCTAGCTCTACCAGTACTTGAAAATCCGCGTGCTCCCCGAGTCTGAAACCCACGCCGAGTCTCGAATCGGTGCCTGTTAACGAGAAGCAAACAATCATGGAGAAACCATCCAGAGACGAGGCGAATCTCCGAATTGTTTCGAGTCGGAAAGTCTCTCGGATATCGTCGCGCGTCGTAGGAAATTCAAATTGAATTCGTTATTCGTAGAAAATGTTAGGCATCTCTGTTAGGTGTCAGGCGCGCGCCGAGTGAAAGTCAAAGTTGTTGGCGCGTCGCGAGACGGCTAGGATAAATCATGAAATAAGAATAGCACGGGAAAACGCATCGGAGAAAAAGTGTGACACACGGACGTGATGCAATTGCCGTGTTACCTTTCTTTATCGGTGGAATATTGGAGTAGATCAGCGAAAGTATCGTGGGCAGCTCTTCCGGGATAATGAGACACGCAGCGTCTGAAACGATTCATTCCGTTTTAAATAACTCGGTTTATTTATAAGTAGAAAATTATACAACGTAACAAAGCCGACAGTATTATTCGTACAACTTTTTCCACGTTAGTTTGGAACGTAAAGTTTGTAACTTTCTATAATATATATATATATATATATATATATATATATGCGTATATGTTTAACTTTGCGTAATCGCTATTCAAATCAGAATATACGCAATCCGTTTAAACGACGAGTCGGACTATGATCAAGGATCGTTGCAACACGTAGAGACAGATTTTACGAAAAGTAGGCGAAGGACAGGTAGATGCGCGTAGAAATGGAGACTTACGATCGTAAAGGAAGAACAGAACGCACAGCTTTATCAGCACGTCCTTCGCGCTCGACATCTTTTCATCGGAAGGATCTTGTCGTGGTCGTGGGCGCGTATTCCGTATTCAGGTCTTCAGAACGGGTTGCATCATACCGTGCTGGCGAGTCTTCTGCGATTAAACTCGTTAATTATTTACCCTCCTCGCGCTCTGACAGTCCTTTTACAAACGGTAGCGAAATGCCGGCGCGGGCGTCGCGCTACCAATCGACAACGGTACTCTCTTTTCGCGGCGATAAGAGAAATCGAAGCCGACGCACGCGTTCACCGACGATACTTGCCAGCAAAATAGATTCGCAAACACTTTTCCGACCGAGTTATACTTTACGTCGCGACGTCGTAGCACGCTCGCGAAAATTAAACAAAATATGGTTCGTACCGTGGCGAATTGATAACCGAGTTCGAACACCACGTGTAACGCACGAGCGTCTTCCCCAATGAGTTTAACTCTCGGTTCACGATCACAGACACGCATCCGCATTTAGGACCGAGGACACCGTCGTCGAAGAAAGGTCGGCGACGTCCGTCGACTCGTCAGCTCTCGACAGAAGCGAAAACGTTTACCGCGTGTCGTTATACTTACATGAAAGTGAAATCTAAAGAGCGAGTTGGCAGGTAACGAACGCGGCTTCGAGTCGACTTACTCCAGCGAACTCGGGCTAACTGAGGGCTGACCACTGACTACCGAGACCAGTCCAGGCGCGATAGAATGCAATCGCGTTCCTTGGCACCGACGGTGCGAGAAAGACCACCGGAAAGAAGTGTTCGAGTGAAAGGAGACGCGGATCGGGGATCGAGGTCACCGAGTCCGAACGACTGTCGATGGATCGGGGATGAACTCTCTCTCTCTCCTTTTCCTCTTCGGCGTCTCCGCGGGAAGGAGAAGCCAAATTTCAGTTCCGATTCGTTCGTTTCTTCTTCGTCCGGTCGTTGGAAGGTTTACCCGGAAAACGCTGAAAATGATACGGTTGCTCGATCGAGCAACAAAAGTGAAACTCGATTACCGAGCAGTGTTATTTTCAATGGCAACTAGAAATCTTCGTTTCCTCCTTTGCGTTCAACGAGGCCGTTTAACCATTGTTTGTACAGCGGAGTTTTTCTTTGAAAATTCTGAAGCAGAAAGGCCGTGGCTCGTACAAAAGAGAAAATTCCTCGCGACGACAACGTCGCACGTCGTTATCGGTCGTTAGCCACGCGCGAGAAAAGGTGTTCCTGGCTAACGATGACATAACTACTTAAGCTCGGCTTAACGGTCGCGCTTGTCGAGAAGATGCAGTCGACGTACTAGGCTCGAAACTTTGCGGGATCAGGGTACCGCGGCTAGGAACATCGCGCTTTGCGCTTTTATCGTTACCGTTCGAAAATAGGAGCGAACGTCGTCGGATCGGGCCTAATTTGAAAACAGTCATCCGGACGGTTATACGTTCGCGGCCGACGTCGACGGACGTGCTCGGTTTAACGGTACCATCGATAGAGCGTGGACACGCGCGTGATAGCACGCGCGTTATCGGCGGTAACTCGCCGACTGACTTCCTCGTCAACCATGGCTGTTGGCGCGTGTACGGCAAAACCCTGAGAAATCAACTCCAGCTGTTCGAAAGTCCATTCGTTGGAAAGAAGAGCGCGAAAAGGTTGCTTCGTTCTTTCCATTCTTTTTCAGATTTTATGCTCGACTCGTTCCTCGTGTGCTCGATCATGTCGTTCGGTTGGACAGCTCGAAAGTCCGTAACGGACAAGACGAACGCGGCCTTGGCTTCTCGGTTTACGAGTTTCCTCGATACATAGATAAAATCGTAAAAAAAAAAAGGATAAATAAATATCAGGATCTCGTTAGATCGAGGACTTTGTAATTTTGAATTGCTCGAATCGTTTCCCGTATTCGATTAGGTTTACGCGTGAAGTCGAGGAGATCGAGGCATCGAAAGCGTCGAGTCGCGTACCGCCAGCTATCGGCGAAATAGGCAGAGTCGTCGAAGCTCGGAGAGGGGCAAGCGTAGATAGCGCGTTCCTCGTCCTATGCAGGTCCCTGCGTTCGTCGTGGTTTGTCGTTCATCGGGAGTTGACGATCGCGCACCGAGTCGTCGGTCCGGGCTGCGAAGGACGCACGCGGGTACCGATTAATCGTCCTTTCCGTCGACTTGTCACCGCGCTGACATCGAAATCGCGAACCGCGAATGCCATTCGATTCGTCCGCGACGGCGGTCATCGTGGGACATTCTTATGGTCGAGTGAGTATCGTCACGCAGAATTCGGCGAGCGTCGATCGAATCGGTCCGACGAATCTTCGAGTTCTCGACGAACGTTTGCGGACGACGCAGACGGAAGCGGACGGAACGGTGATCCCGGGAAAAACTCGATACGAGGGAACTTTTTGCTATGGCACAAAAACGAGATTCGCTTTCGATAGAAGTACTCGCGCGTACCGTCCGAGAAGTAGCGTTCGTAACGCGTGAATCGATCAACGTTAACGTGATGTCATTCTTTTTTGCGCTACGACCGCGTCGAAACAACAACTCGAGGTAAACATCTATTCGATTCGAACCGGCCATATGCTGTTCTTCGGTCGTGGTTTCCACGTTTCCCGTAACAGGTGCTCTATGCCGACGGACGCGGTCGAAAGACGCGGCGCGGAGCGGCGACGCGAGTGCGCCGAGCGAAAAAGGGAAGAAACGAGTGCGAAGGTTCCGTCCGACACACGGGATTTCTCAGAGTCCCGCGAGTACGCTTCTTGCCAAGCGGACGCGACGGTAACGAGCGCGCGCGCGCGCGAAAAGCACAAGTGTTTTCTGCGCGCGTTAACGTGGCTTATTTTTCTATTGCCTCGCGACGCGACACAGCCGCGACCCGTCACAGACATAACGCGCGAAACGCGACGTCTACACGCAAGTCTCGTTTTTCTCGTGGCCAGTTGCCCACGCGTCGACGCGGACCCTCGGATCTCGTGTACTCGAAACTAGTAAACCAATTACGACTTCCTTTTAACCTTTCGAATACGCGCCTCTCCCCGGATCTCTCGGAACTTTCGCGAAGAAAGCTAACTCTTCACACTTGTCGCACTTGTACTCGTAACCAAGAAAATGGCTTCTCTCTTCGACGGAGTATTTCGATGTCAAGGATTCTAAATCGTAAAAAAACGGTATCGATCTTGATCGATCGTTTCGAGGTCGATCGCGACGCTGGGCGCGTTTACGGTGAAACGGAAGCGCAATCGATGAAAACAGACCGCCGTAAAAATGGCGAATCTAGCTTAACCGACTCAAAGAGTTATCTTTACGACTCGCGAGGTGACGTTTCGAAGCGTTCAAAGAAAATTTATTCGAATCGCTTTCAAACGATCACGGTTTGAAACCGAACAAAGGTAGCGCTAGATCGGCTGGCTAGCTAGCAAACCTTTTTTCGTCGATGATTAGTTTATCGCGACCGACACTGTTTCGCATAGACGAGTGCACCGATAGTAACATCGAACGTGCGTTTCCAGTGAATGGTGCACGATGACTCGCTTGGCCCGTGGGGCCAAATTATCATCATCGCGGTAGCCGTGGTAGGCGTGCTAGCCATCGGTGCCATCGTGATCGTGGTCCTGTGCTTCGCGATTCCGGGATGTCTTGGATACGACTGCATCAAGAGACGAAGTAAGCTTTGCTTTTTACAAGCGTAACCTGTCTAGCAATTTTCTCGACACGTTTGCGAGCTTTGCTTCGGCGCACGCGTGCTATTGTTCGCGAAACACGTGCCGAGGAATGCAATCGCTTTTGATATCTTTGCATCAAAGGTGCTTTCGGAAGTTTACGAATTCTATCGTAGAGAAATTCTCGTTCGTCGATTCGCGAACTGGTATCTAACGCGCTTCGATTACCACGGAAAATAGACGAGATCCCTGTAACCCGGTTACGTAAAACGCCAAGTAACAAAAGAGGTTGGATATCCGCGCGGAAATGTACGATATACGTCATCGAAACGTTTCTGGTCCCGATAGGTTTTTACAACAGCACGACAACGATCGCAGCTGTCGATTTCTTTTGTTTCTCGGTGATTGCAACGACTGTGTTTGTATAACGAGTGTACGCGTTTTATTCCCTGGCTTCTGTTTTATTCTTCGTAATCACATGGGGTACACTGTAACCTTGAAAGAGGTGGCCTGCGATGGTTGGTTAAATGGAGTGGAAAAATTCATGTCAGCGTAATGCCGGAAACGCATATTTAACGAGACAAAGGTTACGGTAGAAATTGCTAAAGATTTCGCGTCAAGCGTTATCAAGGTAATCGTGGACGACAGATTGGCGCGCAACGCAAACCCGATCCGAGAGTATCGTAACGTAACTGTTGTAGTACTAAAATCATTCGAGCCGACGACGAAACGCGATTCCATCGCATCCGAAACACTGTTTATACAACAAAGAACGTTGTATTCCTCTGAAAGGAAGGAAACTTGGATTCCTGCGTCATGAATCGCGCGTATACACGACTGATACATTACGCCATTGTTCGCACATTTATATTTATACATACACGCGCTCGCGGGCGCGACGTTTTCTTCGTTTCCTCCGCGATGTTACGTAATTGGGCATGTCATCCTGCGAACAAATTGCACAGACAGCCTTCCGATAGAGTCGCGATGGCAACGCCCATCTCAACCGCACAAAAGGATTTACTAAATCCAGCATAAGTCGTCGACGCGAACGAGCTTGCGTCTCGTTGACGCGACTTCCTTTCGATTTTATCAACGTTGCCGCTATATTTAAACGTTAGCAAACGAATGTTCTTGGACGAACCGCTGAAATTAACCCGTAGAGATTGATCGCATGGAAGAACAATTACGCGTATCCCGTTTCTATGCAAATTCCTACTCGATTGTATCGTTCGATCCGTCTACTCCGAATGTGCCTTTTTCTCCAAAGCCATCGTTGAGTTCTCTTATTATAACGACGTTCTGTTATAAAATGATTAAACGGTGATTGTGTATGCGCGGGTGTCGCATCGTCGGGTTTAACAGTCGCGAAAAGCCTTCGGTCGCAGATGTTCGGCACCGTAGAAATTAGATGTTCCCCGATTCGTTTGCATGCGTTAAACGAAACATGTAATTAGCGACATCAGACATGAGTCAAACGAATCTTGGAGCGGATAGCCGCGTGGCTATTTCAGCTGTTTTCAAATTGCGTAATCAAAGGTATGAGTAATTCCTTTCAGGGAGGGAAGCAAAAAATGTGCCGTTGCGTGCTAAAAGCGGAGGAAATGAAAACTTGAAGTTGAACGATGTCAGCTACAGGTCATGGAGATTGGGTAGCCTCTACGAAGACAGCAACAATGGTACCGTATAATTATCCTTTACGAGTTGTTTGCTTGTCTCTCGCGTAACGATACAGCTGCTTGACGATGTCGACCGTTGTGTATCCTTGATGCTCGTTCGCGAAACGTTATTTCGCGAAATCTAACGCGTTCGTTTCACAAAATTCGTAAAAATTCCTCAGGTACGATCAACGAGAACGCAGCCACGAACCAACCACCTTCTTGGAACTCTAGCAATCCGCAACTCGACTACACCAATTCCTCGTCTACTCTGGTAACTTCCGCTACCTGTACCAGATTCAGTTTTAATCGCCACACATCGACTATCGCGTATTAATCTATTCCTTGCACGGCACACGTTGCAGAACCTGGTGCAAAAGACCAAGCAAAAACCAGACAAGAAACAAAGGGAATTCCCGACGGAGGTGACGTTGAGCTTGCAGTATCTACCGCCTTACGACGAAGCTGTTACAGGGAAACTTGTCGTTGGCGTCGAGGTATTAATTGATGTTCTTTTATCTGCTCCTCGTTTACGCGTTCTTAGTGATCGTTGTGGAAATCGGGTCACGAATCGTTCGATAGGTCTCGGAGACTCGCTTAGCGATGATCGTATAATTTAAAAGAAAAAGAAAAAATACAAGTACTATCGGTATACCGATAGCGTATTTAATTAGATGCAAGTAGTCGCGCGATTAGCGACGACTCATACCTTCATGCGAATTGAAACGTTTAACGATGCGCAGGCGGTGTCCGGTCTTCCTCCAAAACAATACAACTGTACGTTGGAGCCATACGTGACTCTGAACATTATGAAGCAATCCTGGAGCCACAGGAAACGGCAAAAGTTGCACAGTTTCCGAACGAGAGGCGTCAGGCATACGGCTAGTCCCATTTTTAAAGAGACTTTCGTCGTTGCAAACGTAAAGCCCCACGAAGTTAAGGTACAGGCGTACTTATGTTTTTTTATCTCGAGCCTGCGCGCGTTTCAGTGTTGTATTTAATTCAAGGTCTCGAAACACGTCACTCTGGCATAAGTTAAAGCGCGTCTACGACGAGAGCTGTGCATGCATTTGAACGTTAGAAAAAATATTGTTTATGTCTCGGTAACGGAATCTTGAATAATCGTCACAAAATTTGATATGGAATTTTGTTTTTTTCTTTTTTTTTCTTTCTTTTTTTACGATGGAAGAAAGTGGAAACGGTTGGTCGAGAAAGCAGCCGCACCGAGTACGCGAACGTACCCGTATGTTCGCGATGCAAATATATTTTGCGCGACGCGGGTCGCGTGTTTCGTCGTACCGTTACGAAAACGATTACTCGTCCTAGAAATTACGCGCTTTTGCCTGGTTTCACTCGATCGTCTCTTTTATAGGAATGGATCCTTGATTTAGCGGCGCACGATCACGATAGGTACGCCAACGACACGGAATTGTGTACCTTAAAGATACCGATAAAGGAGCTGAAGCACATTTTGCAAAGTCCGGAGATCCACATGTTCAACTTCAAGATGAAACCGTCCAATTTGGTATTGTCTCGTAGTACATTAATTACTTTGGACGAAACGTTCGATGACGCTCGTTTCTTTTTGCAGGAGTTTGGAAATATTTTATTAGGTATAAGTTACTTACCCACAGCTCAGAGACTGACGATAAATGTTATGAAAGTGCGCGACGTGAAGTTTACACCGGCGGTGTCGAGTTTAAAAGACTTCAGTGAGTATTGAGTGAATTCGATCGCGAGAAAACGATACATCGACGACTCGTACCGCGTACAATGTATTCGTTTCAGATCCGTATGTCAGAGTATTGATGCTAAATGCCAGAACAGGACAGAAAATAAAGAAAAAGAAAACGAAATTTGTTCGCGCAAGTTTGCAGCCAGAGTTGAACGAAACCCTGACGTTCGATGTAACGTACAATCAACTGGACATCGTACAATTTCTCGTGGTGCTGTGTAGCAAGGTCCGGATAAACGTACATTCGAATCGACGAATGAAAATAAACTAACGATCTTGTTAAATATTTCAGAACCTACCTGCCGACGTCCGTACGATCGGTATGGATCATCCGAGCGACAGCGAGGACTCGGTAAACGCGAGCTATAAGTCGAAAGACGTTCACATCGGCAAAGTTGCTCTCGGGAAAGGAGTCAGAGGGCCAACGGAGAGATTGCATTGGTTCTCCGTGCTCCAAAATCCTAGAAAACTCGTTACCGTGTGGCACGTATTGAAATAGCGGCCACGAGCGCATGATTTTCTACATATGTATAACGAATAATCGGAGCTTTATCGCGATTGAAATTGTACGAAATGTTCGAATAACAGGGATTGGGTAGTTAATCGGTTGTCGGCGAAAATGATTCTATTTCCGATAATACTTGACAATTTTACGATACAACGATAATTATAGGTATAACTTGATGTCAGCGAATACAACTTGAACCAAAGATGGCAAATCTTATAAGTATTTATATAATTCCGTTAATATTGTACATCGAATATTATTTAAAACGTGACAAAGTGAATAGCGCGTTGAAAATATATTTACTTTGTACTTGTTGCACGTACTGTGTAATCATTGTCCAAAGTTACTTTTAATACAGCGATATAAAACGTAACAACATATCCCAGGGATGACGATTACATCGTTAAACTTCCCACGACCTATCGTTCAAATTGTCGTAAAAAGAGAAAGGCGAAAGATGAGAAAAAGGCGGATTCAAAATATGGCGGGAACAGACAGCGCCGCGAGAGTTCCGCCTCTCCTCGAGAGAGGGCGACACGATCGCCTCGGGCGTCTCGTAGCAACGTCGACGGTAGGTGCCCACTGCCCAGCCAGCGAGCGAGCTTCGGTCTTCACTTCAGTCTGTTTTGTGACTCGTGAGTGTGTTGTGTTCGTCCCTGGTCGTGTTCAGTTTATTCGATTATCCTTTTTTTCGTCGCGAGTTTGTAGTTGCGTCGCCCGAAGGAAAGAGTGCCGAGTGTTCGAGCAAGGACGTGAACGTGCAACGAACGGTGAGTAACCGTTTTGTTCCGTTAACATCCTGGACAGTTTCCTGCGGACCCATAGAGCTTGCGTTGCGAGCTGGAAATGTAACCTCCAAACGCTCTCCGAATCCTTCCACGTAGAACATAATTCGTAGCATTTATCTTTCTCGCGTTGTACGTTATGCGCGTAGAACCCATTCGCGTTATCGCTGATTTTACGATTACGTACGCGAATAGGACAGCCGGCTTTGCCAATCGTCGCGCGTTCCATGCGTTTGAACGAGAATAAAACATCGCGTCTCGCGGTAGTGTCAACCGTTTTTGAATATCATCCAATAGCAACGCCCGAATCCTCGGTTCGCGATACTTGAAAATTTGTGACCGATCGAGGCCAGAATTTGCCTAGAAGCCGACCCATTCGCGATCGAGTCGACGCATCGGCTCGATAATGTCGCACGCGAGTGCCTTTTAGAAAGAATCGGTCGTATCCACGAAATATTTCTCGTTCACGTGCTTTGCTGTCACGCTTCTTTGGACGGAAAACGAACGCGTCCGCTACCTGCCGACGGAATCGAGTTTGACCTGCTCTTTCGACCGTTGGCCATGCCGCCACCCCCTGTTCTTTTTCCACTGCGGCTAAAGTGAATTTAAGTAGCCCGTCGTAAGCGTCCGTCGCGTCGTAATCCGTAATCCCACCAAACAATTTCATTTCCATAGGCGCATTCGTTTCGTAGACAGACGTTTTGTAGAAAGTAAAAGGAAGAGAGTCTCGTCTCGTCTCGTTATACGCACGATAACGTTGTTTCGAATGAAATGGAATCAAACGCGATATCAATTTGCACGAAACGACCGTATCGTGATTTGTTCGTTGCAAACGCCAAGAAGATAACGATTAGAGCAACATTTTTTAGTACATTGCATTCGCCTTAGTTTTAGTATAGGCTAGCATATTCGCGAGATGCCAACGTATTTGCATCGAAATGGTCGGATTTACTTCCTCGCGAGTGGATTCCCGCCATATCGGCAAGGTCGCGCTCAGGATACTCGTAGGTCATGTTATGATTTCTTTATTTCTTTGTTCTACGCGTTTTACACAATGGGTAGAGACAGACGAGATTTTATTCGATCGATACGGTCCGAAGTCGGTGTCGACGACAAGGAAGAGGTTACCGAATTAATCGAACTTCGTATTCGATTGACACTTCTCGCGAATGTATCGAAATTGTATCTCGTATCGTTTCGAACGATTTGCGTACACGTACGGCGTTTCGCGGACGCGTATGATCGCGTGGGGGGTCTCTGGACAGCATACAATCGCGTATGAATTATCCTCGGGTAAACTGCACGCGCGAGCGTATTCGTAACCATCGCCTCTAACGGAACCGTCGTATTTCGTTTTCTCGAGGGTAGTTGCAAAGGGTCGATCTCGAACCAACGTTCCGACGAAACGAAATAACGAAAAATCGTAAAAATTTCACCAAACGTGTCAAGGTCCTCGGAATCTGACGTTTCGCGCGCAACGATTTAACGCGGTCGTTGAAAAAGGTCGATTTTATTTGCATATCGAAAAAAGATTCCTCGAGTGGCTGGTACGTACAGCGACTGTCCGACGGCAGCTTTGATAGTAATTAGATCGGTGTCGAAGATAACCGGATAGGTAATTCGATTGCCAGTCCGCGTGGGGCGTTCGTTGTTTCGATAATTGAACGCGTTGCAATGAAACAACCATGATCGAAGATCGCTGTATAACGAAAGCAAACTCGCTTATTTATTTTGCAGTTTCTTTTTTTTTTTTTTTTTCAACTCGGGCATAGAAAACAATGCAAGCCCCGCAACATTGGCTAATAATCCCGACGACGTGTTTCATCTGTCGCGAAGGTTCCCACAACGCGTCGATGCTTTTCAGGCGTTGCGCATTTTTGTTTCGGACGACGAGTTAAACTATCCGGCACGCGGCCGTCTCTCATTGTCATGCAAATGATTTTTGCGCAATCACGAAACGGCTAAGCGACACGGACTCGAACGTCGACGCGCACGTGCATGGGAAAAGGTTCCGGAATGTCCAGACGCCGTTAACCCTTTCTCCGCGTATTTGGATTTTCAACTTTGTCCCTCGCCACTTTCCTTTTATCGCCGCCGGCTATTGTTCACCGATAGAAATCGTTTCTCGGCCCGCACGAATCGCGATGATGTCGTTAATGCGAAGTAACGAAGGGGTGGACGATTAAAAGGTTCGCCGAGGTAGCGACACGCGTTGTTTGATCGCGCGAAGAAAAGCGAGACCCGTTGCACCCATCGACGGAATGGATATCGGCTGCTTCCTTTTCGATCGTTGGACGTCATCGAATTCCTCGTGATTTTCCAATCGGTCTCGCTTACCTCCGGCATGGCTTTTATGGAAGACGATGCCGAGAAACGGCCGTCGGCTCGTTTGGACTACAGGCCTCGACAAGGTTTGCGAATGTCTCGCGATAGTTGTTTAAATAAAAATAGTGGTCTGAAAATAGTCGGTCTCCTAAATACCATCGAACAATGATTGGCGCGATCGTCGTCCGTGGATCAAGACCGTCACCGTTACTATTTCGGTGTGAAGAGACACGGTGGCATGAGAAAATAATGTTTATTTGGGTTAGGTTAAAGGAAGAGCAAAAAACCGACGGCTCGGCGGTGTGTCCCGCGTGGTTCGTAGCAGCTTAATCGTTGTTGCGTCGACTGCATCCGGTGCATCGGTGTAATTAATTTTCTCCGGTTAACCACTCGTCAGGAGCGAACAAATTCCTCCGGCCTGGAAGCGTTTAATTATAATTACAAATTCGAGCGTCACGTTCGCGGCAATCGTCGCGAACGAGATAAATATCCCGAATGCAAATCGCGAGTTTACGCGGAAGAACTGTGGACCTAGGCGCATATTACGTTTTTACGTTTGCGCGAATGGTATTAACCAACTTTTTATTCCTTCGTTCGACCAGGTTTCTTCCGTAACAGACGCGCTGTATTCAATAGCGTAACGCGCACAGATATTCCACGTAGAAAGATGCAAATTATTGCGACGCAAGCCTTCTACGGAACGTAGAATCATTTCGTATACTCGTTGCCTTCGCAAACGTGACAAACGCGCGTATCTGGCCATTTTGCTGGACTTTCCGCTCGGTTCGGTCAGCTCGAGCTTCGTCCTTGCGTCTGGTTTCCAGCCCATTAGGCTGAATCCAAACTCGTGTCAGTTTTCGATGTTCCCGTCCCCGAATTCTCGACGGTCGGTCGTTGGTCGGATTAATGTTCGCGAGAAATATGCGGAGACGAGAAGAAACGGTTTCGCCATCGACCGCACCGGCGAAACCAACCTCTCGCTTCGATGATACAACGCGTCTTAACCTTGCGCATCGCTTTGCATGTATAATTCATAGCGTTCGACGAATCCAACGCAACAAGAATTCTGTTTACGCGATTAGATAACATTCGCGTCGAACTAATTGTTTCGCGTACGAGACCTGATCGTTTAGGGCTGCGTAAATTCCTTAAGAATATTCTCCGTTCCGAGGAAGCACGGTTGCGCGCACGGTTGCGAGCACGTTTCGGGACGTTATATTTTATCGATGGATGGGTGGAAGTCTCGAAGTAGAAATTCGAGTACGCCGATGCATAACTGGGTCGCCGTCGGCGGGCAGGTTGGTTAGAATGTAGTTTTCAATGTAGGCAGTCGCATTCCGCATTCCGTGGACCTATAAATAATACGCGTTTTACGGTATTGTGGCGTAACGGCAGCTTCGCCGCACGTTTCTCGCGTTCGATCATTGCGGAACGATGATTCGGAAAATGTTGCTAGCGTCGACAAGGTCGCTTCGCTATTGTACGTATCGATTCCTTATCTGAAATCCTTTTGGAAAAGCCGGAACGATAACGGCGCGAGATCACGTTCTCCTAGAAAAGCCGTTCTTTCGACTTAATTCTTCTCCTCAAAAGGGAAACGTCGCGAACAACAGATTCCGCGTTTACGTACTCGAACGATAGCAAAGAGTTACTCGCGGTAGCGATAACTCGAGACTTGGACGAACCGATGAATCAGATTTTACCGTTGAATCGGAGGTCCGCGTACGCTCGTTGGTTTCTATAATTAACGCGTTCCGTTCGGGTTAGTTATATTTCGACGACGGTCAGCTTAGATGGATACCAGTACGATAAGATCTCTTCTTTTGTTATATCTTTGTATCGGCACGGTCATCCACAAATTAAGAGCTTCCGCTTATCTACTACCGACGTCGCCGCGACGCCGCGCCGATGGTCTTCTGCTTCCTATAATTCCACTGGCGAAATAATCAACGATCACTAATATATATTTTGCTTCGTTTATCGTAAATCTTTTAAAGCGATCGCGTATTCCGCGTGCACGCGACAATCCGCGGAGCGCGTGCAATTGCGCATCGATACGAAGCCGTGTAGTTCTCGGTGCGAATGAAAAACTCGCGGAGAAAGACGCGTCGACGTGTTCCTCGCTACGAGAGCAGCTGATGCGCGCGCTCTCGGACTTGGCTGGTTTCCCGAGACTCGCTTTATTCCCGTAGAAGGCTTTCCAACTCGTTGTTCGAGCTTTTTCTCCGCCCTCGACTCTCCCTCGTCGCCGTTCGCCTCGCGATTTCGTTTTCTTCGCATCGCGAGAAACGCGACTACCTCCGTTCTCGCGTTGCCGATTTTCAATTCCTTTGCCGGGGAAAGAAAACTAGAGAACCAGCTGCCCGAGTGGAATTAATCGTCCAAGTTTCCATTTAGAATGCGGATGAAACCGGTGCGCGTCGGGGTGCACTGGTCGTTGCAAGTTTTGCGCAAATGCCCGTACTTACGCGAAGCGCTTTTTAAAGCTCGACTAACGCGACGGGTGTAAAGAAATTTTACCGAGTCGTTTCAGACGTCGAAGAATAACCGTTGCGATCGAGAAACGTTTTATTGACGATCGAACGACCGAGCGTAATAAGCGAGGAGAAATAAAACGTACGTATTACCTTGGGCGAGGAGTGTTTCGTCGGCAGAAACAATGAAACGTTCGGCCGGAAGGAACGGGAAAGCACGAGAATTCTTTTATTCGCGCGATAAGTCGTCGATGCGCGAAGGAACATGCAAAAATTTCTGCACAGCGCTCGCTCGCTTCGCTAGTTTCCATACACGGTTCCTTTGACCGCTGATGGAACGCGAATTTCATCCGTTGCCGCAACTCGTATTCCGCATAGCTGCCGCGATTATGCCGCTGCAGAGGACTGTATTTTCACTCCCTCGACCTTCTCTAAAATTCCACCCAAGAACGTCGCATTCGACGTTCTCTCGTATCGTTGAAATTCAGTCGACGGTATTTTCTCAACGGATCGAGTCTTCCCGCGCGAGTTTGCTTACTCGTCAAAGCGTTGCGTTACCTACAAAACGAAAGGAAACTTCGATACGCGAAAGTTGATACTTGGCGTGGCGAGACGCGCATCTTCTTCCTCGAGGTGAACAACCGTGGACAACCGTGCTCGTAAAATTTCTGGCCCGGTCGCAGGCAGTAAAGATCTCAAGCCAGACTCGACGCGTGCCGTTAACGCGCGCGTTCCTCTCGCGGCGGGCCGAAACGACACGATGAAAAGACCTCGAATCGCGGAATCGTCTCGAGCGCGTTAACGGGCCGCCTAGGTGTATATCGTATAGGGTGCACGTATAAACTGCCGGTGTATTTTTAGCTAGTCCCGTGTCGGATTTCCTGTACACTCGATACAGTACAAACTCGATGGCGCATAGCACTCGCCAGGGGATGGATGGTGGTTGCCATGCCTACGTCTCTCCCACGACCCCGGCTCTCTGTCTGTCTCCTCTCCGTCCATCCATACGACCGCGACCGTCGGCGTCGGTCCGTTCGTCGGTGTTCGTTCGATACCTGCCTTTACCTCTCCTCGTCAACCAATGCTTTCGCGCCTTATCATCGTTTATGATTTTCTACTTTCGCGAATCGCGGGAAACGGTCGACCGAAGCGCAGTCACGGTTAGTTTCTAGCTCTTTAAACAGTCTACCCCATGTGTACTTCGGGACCGCTGTAATCTCGTTTCTATCCCAAACGTTCGCGCGGTTATTCCGTAAAACGCACGCTCGCGCCGCAATCAGACTTAAAAATAACTCGTCGAGTCGCCGTAGAAAAACTGCCGCGCGTAATTCGAGTGTTGCTCTCGGGTTCGATGATTAGGTGTAATTGGCTGGAAATAATTGTAGCTCGGGCCGGCGTAAGTGGCTCGTTGCCGCGGCTTTGTTCGCGGATAAGTATCGATTAACGGCCGCAACGAGATCTAACGATGCTGCTTCGCGAATTAAACGTTGACGATCTCTTGTTCGCGGCGAAAGGAATCGTAGTTTTCGCGCCGGTCAGCGGCAGAACGGTGCAATTGTTGCGTCGCGCGAGTAGCCTTTAGCGCGAAATCGTCGATCGGCTCGGAAGCAAGGGTCGTTCGGGAATATTCGCCGACGAATATTATCCGTTGGAACAATGGTGCTTTCGCGACGATGAATCGGGCCGGGGCTATTTCGGAGCTTGACGGGTCGCCGCGGGTAAAAAAAGTGTGACGTTAATTAAAAGCTTGACATAAATCACGACGAACGCCAAAATGCTTTTCTCTCCGTGCACCGACACACTCGTGCATTTTCCGCTTCGCGACGACTCGCTGCGCGAAACGACTCTGTCTTCTTCCGCGAGAAAGCGACGAACGGACGCGTTTCGTCTGTCGATCGAACGAGCCTCGGTGAAGAACTGATTTCGAGCGACTCCGTAAAAGAGGAAAAATCAGCATCCTCGATCGTTATCTGTATTCGTGGCACAGAGTACGCGTGCACGTGGCGCGAGCAGACGCTGTTATTTAACACTGCAGCTATTTCCAGGTGCGTGCGTCGCAGTCGGTGTCGAGTGCTACTACTCACCAACAAACTGCAACGCCACTCGCGGAACCTTTATATCGCTTAATCTCCTCTCGCCTAGTCCGTCGAAACGAGTCACTTTTTCAGTGCCACTCCTTTTACTACCATTTTCGACTCGCGTTTAGCGTCGTCACGGGTATTTTCAGTTCGACTAGGCGCATCTAGAGCGAAACCAGTTCGCCGAGCCGTTGGGGAGACGCGCGACTCGCGATTTTAAAGATACGAGGAAGTCGTTCAAGTTGGTCGTTTTTCACAAGGTTGCTCGAACGCGATCGAACGTTGATCGATGATGCGATCGAGACGTGCCGGCGTTAACGCGGACGCCGTAAACACGCCGGTACGGATACGCGCGTTCTCCGACGCTTTCTAGGAACGAAGGTTGCACGATGCCGCGATTCGAGCGGAAACGCAGGTGGATATTACGCGATAGTTGTTCGTTACGCAAAAGCCGGGAGTACATTGCGATTAGGAACGACCTCAAAGCGATATCCGCTTGTTATCTCGAACGACGCGTTACGAATGTTTACGTTGATAAAACAGCTGGTTAGCGCTCGGCCAGAGGTAGATAGGATATGTCTTTCGAACACGTATTCGTCGTTGTTTGCCCGACGGCACAAGAGCTTTAAAGGGAAATTTCCTTGTACTCGTAGTTTCGGTGAGCAGATTCGATCGGGTCGAAAGCTAGCGTTGGGGTAAACACCACGATGTCAAAAGTAGCGGAACGGAAGCATTCGCTGAGCAAAAGGTCGGTCCACCACGCATATCTTATTGTACGTTGCATCGATTCCCTTAGGGATTTCGATACTCGTCGAACAACTCGTGGCAATGCATCGTATCGATCGTTGTTCCGTTACGTGCAACCTTTTCGGAAAATGGACTCGAAACTCGGCAACGTCTTGCAATTTGCGTTATTTCAAGTTTCGTCTCTCCAGAGATGCGATACATTTGGGACGAGAGATACTCGGCTAGAATTATTTCGCGGAAGGCCTGCACTCGTAAAATTCAGTTTAGGAAGCTACCGCTCCTTTCCAAGCTCCGAAATCATATCGTAATTGTAAATATGCCTCGGCGAGTATATCCCGACCTTCCCGCGTTAATAGGTTTACTCGACGCGACACGGTTTCTTCCTTCTTCCTTTTCCGATATGTAAACATCGGTTCGCTCGAATGTGGCGTAATTAAAAGTAGATTCGAAGTTGCTCGCGAATTATCGGACGGTCGTTTTTCCGCGAGCTTTACGGCGATTCTTGCCGTTTTCGAGAATCGGCTAACACGGTGCTGAGGACGTCTAACAAGGTGAACAGGAAATCCGAGTCCACGACACGGTTTCACACGCGTCGTTCCCGATACACTTCCTCGCCGACGAACGTTGTAAGTGGACAAACATCTGTACACGTGTCGCGCGTCGAGGACGGATCAGCGTTCGAGCAATATTTTCAACATTTTTTGTTATTTTTGTTGCAGATCGCGGGACGCGAGACTCAACCGGAGAGCATCGCGGTAAGCGTCCGAGGATTGTTTATTCCATTCGAGCTCTGCGTACCGATTCGAATAGAGTCGTATTTCGCGTATAATTTTCACGCGAAAGCACGAGTTTATCGTAACTCGAGACCATGATAGTGTTCTACGTACCATTTGCTTTTTCGTGCTATTTTATGGATCTGACTCATGCCGAGTATCGTCAGTGTTTGCAAACTTGTTGTACGTTGCTTCGACGAAAGCTTTTAATCGAACAAAAACTTACGTATCTATTCTGTCGTGTCTACACGTGCATATTTACGATAGGTAAATAGAAAATGCAGGGAACTCGATAAGAGTCGAATGGAAACCGCGAACCGAGAAGTATATCATCGTTAATTTTCCGTTCGCGATTCGATCGTTGGATATCGCTCGCGCAAAAATAATTTCGTTTATCGCGCTTTCCAACATTGGAAGATTTCGTGTTTCGATGAAAGCTGCTCCAAGGTATGCTTTAATCGATGAAATTACCGATGCCGAAATAATTTCAGTTTCGAGTCCTTGGCAACGTATCCCGTTGCGAGGAGGGCTGCAGGATGGGATGGAATGGGTTGGAATGGAATGGAAAGGAAAGGAAAGGAAAGGGAAGAAGGGTCGGGAAAACGGGTCGATAGTCCGTAAGTTTATATTCCTGTGCGGTCTCTGGCCGCGTCCGGTCGTAGAAAATTTATTTGTCTAGCACAGGCTCGTAACAGTTTTACAGTCTGACGGGGGTTCTACCAAATAATTCGTCCCACGTTTGAATAATATATCGCGATTCCAACGTCGTTCAAACGTGACGCGGGACCGCGGCTACGCGTCGAAAGTAACTCCGACGCTTGCACCGCGTCGCGCGCCACGCTTTTTACGGTTCTCCGTCGACGATCGGCCGCGGCGGCCCCTATGCAATAATCGTTCGTATGGAAAATATTTTTTGACGCGTTTACGAGCGTGTGGCCTCTCTCGGTCGGCCTTCGAGTTTCGATCTCGTCCCGGTACCTTGGCAATTTCTCGTAAACTTGGACCAGGTACGCTTCGGGCTCTCGGTCGCGGCAAGTATCTATACGAGCTGGTGTCTGAAATCGTTGCATATTCTTTCCGAGTCGAACGGTTTCGTACACCTGTCGGTCGGTAATTTCGTTTCACACGAGCCTCTAATTTACTTACGATCGCGGCGGCGTAAGGGGAAACGCTATCGCGTTTGCTCGTCACCTGGAGACGGTGAACGGGGGGGTAACGTCAACATTACCTGGACGCGTAGACTCTCTCGAGCTGGTCGTAATCTTTGCTCGGCAAACACTTCTCGGCGAGATACGAAGATCGCGTCTTCTCTTCTCGATGAAAAGAAGGTAGGCTGCGTTTGGCTGGCGGTACCTACGCTCTTTTTTCCGCGCCTCGTTATTAAAGGTCTCTTTAGAGCCCCGGCACCTCCGAAGAGCATCGACCTAGAATTTGCGTCCTCTGTTTGGTTTTCCATCAGCGGAGAGTTGGTTCGTGTCTCGGGATAATGAACCGGTCAGCGTGTTTGTTTACATTTTCGATTAAACTGTGCGTAACGACGAAAGTTTTCGCTCTTTCCGGTGCAACGTAAATACGCGATGAAATTGCCGTAGCGCTGCTGGTGGGAACGGTGAAAAAACTTGAAACGTTCGATAGGAATCGAGAGGAACGCGGTCGTTTCGGGAACGAAGCAAGAGTCCGTCCATCATTTTTTTTCCCAATCGGAGCGTTAACCGACGGACGATACGCGCCAAGAAAAAGGAAGTACGTATGCTAACGTTCGCGATATAATCGGGTTCGCGATTCCCTTTGGAATCGCTCGTAACGAAAGACCGAGACGTCTCGAGTTGCCAAGTTCAGGGGTTAAGGAACACGCCAAGTACGAGAAATCGTGATTCGAGAGCCGACCGTGCCTAGTCGCGCCGATTGTTTCTCTCGTCTCGGTTAATTTCTCGCAATTAGCGCGTTGGCGGTAAGATCGGTTCGTTGCAAGCGATCAATCGCACGCACGGGATCGCGTATACGTTGCGATAGGTTGTGTGTTTCACTTCTAGAGGCAAAAGAAATAAATGACCGTCTTGTTAGCGATAATCCGATAATAATTTGGATTCGACCCGGTATCTTGGACGCGTGATGCAAGCGTGACGTAATCTTGGCGAGGTGCTTAACCGTCCACGATCTCACGCGAAACGAAAATTAGAACTTTCTCCTATTTGTAATTTGGCTGACCCCCAGATCTCTGCTATACGACGTCGCGTACGCTGCGTTATTCCACGATTGCGAGTAAAATCAATTTCACGCGGGGCATCGACACCTCCGTAGAACGTAATGACGTGCAACGAAGTCTGCGGAGAGGTCGTTGCATCGTTTAGATAGGGCGGAGAGCAGAACCTCGAGTGGCATGCTCCTCGAACGATTATAATTTTCACGCGTTCTTTCGATTCGTAACACTTCCGCGCGTGTCGGGAGCGCGATTGCCAACGATCACTCGTTCGACTCGTTCGATCGTGTCCCGCGAAGCAACTCGATCATTTTGAAAAGATTACACAGTTTCGTCTTTCCACGAAGTTTGCGATTAGTCCTCGCGTACCGCGGAGTAGGCAATCTTCCGCGACAGGTACGATAACGTTGCAAGCTCGTCCGCGCGATTAACGGTGGTGAAATCACGGCAAAAATTTATCCGATTGACGCTCCATGCTCGACGAGGGAGCTTCGGCACTTTTCACCTCTCGCGGTTATTTTAACCGAGCGGGTAGCCGACGACGAGAGGCGCAGCAGCTCGTTGGCTCGCGGGTCACGTTCCTCGTCTCGTCTCGTCCCGCCTCTGACAATACGGCTGCTCGATGGAGGCCGGTCATCGCGTCCAGCCAGCGTAGTCCACTGTCGGACCAGAGAACCATTCGCCACCGTGCATCCTATGGGACCTTGGCAGTGACAAACTGTGCAGCCATCGTATGCTCTCTCTCTCTCTCTCGTCTCTCGTCTCTCGTCTCTCGTTTTTCCGACGTGTTCGGGTCAGCCAGCCTGCGAGAGTCTCCTGGAATTCTTTGTTCCGCATTGAGTCGCCTCGACGCGCTCGTTGTCTCGGGTCAACAAACTCCATCACCTGGACGTTTGCTCTACGATAGCGCTATCGATCGTCATCGGTGTTTATCGTAGCAACATATTTTTTATCGGTTAAAACAATGCGTTTCTTTGAAACTTTTCGAAGAGCGCGATACGACCGATTCTCGGTCTTCTTTCCGGTAACATTTTTCTGGACGATGCGGGAAAGTTAAACGTTCGCAAAGAATACGTCGAGTTTTCCCAGCGTTAGTCGACACGAGAAACGCGTTTGTTTCTTACGTGGAACCGCTTCGAGATTGTTTATTTGGTAACGTGGCGGTTGCAAGGATAGATGAAACGATTCAAGTTTTCGCGAGCGAATAAACGTACACGGTTGTTCTACAAACTGGAGCAGACGAGACCAGATGAAAGGCGCCACAGCTAACCAAGTGTGTAGTTAGCCACTCGACTGGCAATCGGTTTCCCCTATGGAACCTTGGCAGTGACAATCAGCCGTATGCTCGCATATCTCTTTATAGCATGGTGGTTTTGTACGGCGTATACCCGACGTATTACTTCCTTATTACGTAACCACGCTTAGGAACTCGCGAGGATTTTCAAACGTTGCCATCCGACTCGTTTTAAGCGTAACTCGATTTCCGTCCCTTTCTCGTTTCTTCTCCCGAAGGAAAAAGCAGCGAGGGTGTGTATTCGGTTATCGACGCTGCCCATTATTTAATTAATACACCGTGGATCAACGAAGGACAAATGAATTCAGCTCGCGACGTAATTTATTTCGCATTGTCCCGTAATCGGTGGGCTGAATGAAAGAGAAAGCACCGTGAATCGTGGCACACCGATCGAACAGGGAATGCAAATTAATCTCGGATCCTTTGCCTTATTTGTCACGCTCGTAGATTTAACGTCAAACCCGGATCTGAGTGAAACTAATTTCGCTCGTTACGCGGAAAGTAATTAAGAGTTGTGAAATTAAACGACTGGAAACTTTGGTATTTTTTTGCGATAATTGAATAAAAATTCGTAGATACCTGATAGCGATGAAAAAAGTGTTCGAAGCGAAAAGCGGTTGAGCGAAAAGCCCCACCGGCTTGCCGTAGGCGGGGGTGCGACGAGAGTCCTAACGAGTGTGGGTGGTTGATGATTATAGTCGCGCCGTAACGTACCGCGACGGATTTGTGGCTGGTAAATTACGAGTTCAAGGATAAACGAAGGACGCGGAAAATCCTAATCCAAAAAGGTGTAACTGATAGGTGCGAGATTTTTGTATGAAATTGTCTAGAGCCGAAACGTCAGCTCAGGTACCTTATCTGCGGTACAAGGAATAGAAGGTGAGAGATAGGTTTTATCGTCCCGTCGGTAGCGACGATAATTCGACGTCGAGAGAGCGATAAAGACGAGACTCTCGAGATGCTTATGTAAAACAATTTATTGGATGGTTACGCACGATCGTCAAGTACCAGCCGTGTCTGGATTCGAGGTCGACTTTTCGATCGACCTGGCAAACCGATGGGAGGGAAGCACGGCCTAAATCGCGTCTTTAAGTCCAATACGATACGCGATTGCGGCACGTGATCTAATCTCGTCGCCGGAGTCGCTTGGTTCCGCTTGGTTCGGATTCGAGCCACTCGGTTAAATCAATTTCCGATCGGTTCGCTCGATTTTCGTCTTTTTCTCCGGTGCTTCGCGAAGCCTTTTTCGAGCGTCGTCGGAGAGATGTCGAGATCGAACCGCGACCAGCGTACAAGCTGACCCGTTTTCCGTGAATGTTCATTTTCTCCGAACAAAGTCAACATCGATCGATCGGGAAAACTGTCTCGGACCAAAGAGAATTCGATACAATCTACGAGTAAGTGGAACGTGGACGTCGTTTTATTCCCATCATCGATCGACGGTGGTCGATCGTTAATTGCTGCGTAATTCTAATTAGCGAGCTTTCCCTGTCGCGAAAGAACGAACGGATACGAATCACGTTTATCACGCGACGATAGTACGCGCGTAGGCGAAGCGATACACGCCGCTCAACAATTCGTTGTACCTTTCCCGACGTCGCGTCGGTGGGTCATTACGATTCTCACGCTCCCTTTACGATATTTTACGGTACGTTCTGTCGCCGGGAAACCGCGATCCGTCAGATTCACGTTCGTTTCTATCTCTCTGTAAGACGTTAACGCTACGATTGTTTTCGAAAAGAGGGTATTTAATCGCGCGGTGAACCGATAACGAGAAGCATTCGCGTGCGGGCAAATTGGGTTAGCTAGAATCCGTTGGCGAGAAACGGTGAAAGCCTCATCCGCGAGTGATCTCTCGCGACGCGTTCGTGCCCTAGTCGACGATGAATTCGTAGCGGACGTTTCTACGCGGGGATCGGTCTACTCGCTCGTTAACCTTTCGTCCAAAGTAAACATTACGATTACACCGTTATTGAACGCTGCCCCTTTATTCTCGTGCTTCAGCGTGCGCGTTACGTAAACAGGACTTGTACACTTCGCTACGATACTTCTATATTTAGCACGGTTATGTCACGTTATGCTACGCATAGCGCGGCTAATTTTTCGATCAAATTCATTCAAACACTCTCGGTAACTGGTTGTTATCTTTAGAGTATCGATCGGTCGAGCCTTGCCGAGCGTTGCGCGCGTATTCTTTTTTCGTTGAGGAGGAAAGTATTCGAGGGTTTGTTCGATGTTGAACAACCGATTCTGTACGCGAGTGTTTTTTATTTTTTAACTGTTATCGTTGCGGTGTTCGTGCGTAACGTTTGTAAGACGAAGCATCTCGTCGTCGTCGTCGTCGTAGGATTAGCTGTAACTCTAATGGAAATGTGCCAAAATTCGTGCTAATGCGGGACCGATTCGTGAACTAGGCTGTCGTACATTATTCCTGGTAATTAAAGTCGCTGCATCTCCTTCGATTCGATATCCAGCGGCATATTAGATTTCTCCGATCCTGCGTCGAGCATGCGAACGCGCTCAGACGAAACGTAACCGCTTTCTTAGGATACCTACAAGTTCTTCCGGGGCGTGAAGTACGCGTACCTGTTTTAAAAGTCGCGCAGACACTTCGATCGCGAGCAGTCGCGATACCGATATCGCGAGCGCACTCGTAGGGGCGGGTCGCGAAGACGGAAATCGATGTGGGTATAATTGAACCATGTATCTCGCACGCCAAGTACCGTGGATTGTGTTCGCATCGAAATTAATAGGCCGCTATTATTTGGCCTAGCGAATCGAGTAAATACTCGGCTGGCTCGTATCTGGTACGACCGGCTGTCTCTCGAACGAAAAGAATAGACAGTTTGGTGATGCACCATTTACCATGAGGGACGCGCTTTTATTGCGATCGGTGAGCGACGATAGGCATCGATGACATTCGAGTCGAAGGCCGACGATAGCTGTTAACTCCATCAAGAGTTTGTCGGGAGCAAGGACAAATTGAACACGAATCTTTATTTTTTTACTCGGAGCGTAACAAATCCCAGCGACTGTGTTGTTTTCGTTTCGCGAAAAGGTAGTTTTTGAGCACGTGCCAAAACGCGAGGATAAAGTACGGGGTTTGTTTCGTTACATTCACGAGGTAACCGCTCGCCAAGTTTTACCCTTTCGCGAGTAAATTATACCCGTCGTGTTCCAGCGGAGAAATGGCCAGCGATCCGTCGTTTTATCAAACGCAGCTGATTCGCTGTTATCGCGGTCGTTAAGTTTCTAACGAGAATCGAATAGTCGTCCTTCAAATTTTACTTTAAACAGTTTTAAATGACATCGAGAAAACTTTGGTGAGTTTGGCGAAGCGCGATGGTTCTCCTTCACGGCCGAGGGGTGGAGGCGTTAAGTTTGATCGAATCTACGATACCCGATCCCGTCGAAATACCACAAGTTCGTCCCCTCGATTTTCAAATATTTGGCCGAGAGCCAAGCTCTCCTCTTCTCATCGGACGCGACGCGACGCGACGCGACGCGACGCTGCACGGCGACCGAGTCGAGCGCCGCGGAACCCGCGACATCGGATACGTATTAATGGACAAACCTCATCAACGGTCTGTTAAAGACGCGTTTAACGATGCCGCCGCAACCCGACAGCGGTTCGCGTTTCCGTGTCCCGGCTTTGCAGCTCATAAATCCCACCGACAACGAACCCGGCAATGCGTCCACTAAAACGCATCCGGTAATTGGCTCGGCATGCACGCGTACGCGATATCGGCCGTTCTTGCTCTCGCGACGCGTTCGCGTTCGTTTTGTCACCTCGCACGTCGCGATCCTCCAGTTTTCCAATGTTTCGAGGAATTACTCGATTCCGTATAAATACCAACGTGTTACGTTTTACGAATCCGCTCCGCTTGATCGAAGAATGAATTTTCTCGAACGTCGAATCGTTTCCCGGTCCGCGACGATGCAACGAAAAAGTCGCCACCTAAAATCTGCGCGCTTCAGTTGTCGATGCATTCCGCGAGACAAGTTTTTCGCGTCGTCGATCCACCTCCGATTTTATCTCGGCAATTTCTGGAAGGCAGCCCCGTCAGCCGTTAGCTGCTGACAAGGCTGCAAGAAACGAAGGGTTAATATCGTGCTTTATCGATTTCGCGTCATGTTAAACTGCTCTCTGCCACCGGTGGAAGCCATATCCGCGTCCCTTCTCGCAGTCGCTGTAGCACGAAACTTTTCTTGCGGTTCACGGTCGACGTTTTCGCGCGTCCGCCGCGGAAACTCGAGCGAATCGAATGAGAACTTTAAAGCCCGCGAAATTATCGAATTTTATTTTACTTATATACTTTTGCTCATCGACTGGAAAACCTTTGCGAACACACGGCGTCGCGCAATCTGGACGGTAACGATTTTTCTCCACGCAACGTTCGAAGGCGTTGGTAAAGGGGAAATCGAGAGGCGAGGTCGACATTCGAGGAATCTTCTCCGGCGTGCTGGCTACCTGTACCTGTTCGTGCATTACCTTCCGTTAACTCCCGTACATACCGTTATCCATTCCTCGCGTTTGCAACCACCAGCTGTGCCGGTCGAGCCGGAATTCGCGTAGGTCTCGATCTCCCACGATCGCGAGCACGCGCGCGCTCGCGTACACACACACACACACACTCTCTCGTACACCTTTACTCTTACTTTCGCCCAACGACCTGCTATTTATTGCCAATCGAGTGGCGGATATCGACCCCATTTTTTAACTTGATCACAAGACCAGACATTAAGTCGTCCGTTTTGTTCGCAGAATATGAAGTGAGCGAATCGAATCTCCTTCAGGGATGACATCCTGACGAGAGAGCAAAGTTAACCATCGCGATGGATCCACCAGCTACGAGCAAGGTTCTGCGAGCTCCTAGCCTGAAGAGGGGCCAGGAGAACGTCAAGATACAGGACAGGGTGAGTCGAAAGTTTGCGATGAATCTTTGCCCTCGTTAAATTCCCGTATAGTTTCCTACTGATTTTCCTCCGTATGGAGAAGCCGGGTAATCGAGAAGTTGTAAAACGAATCCGAATGATAGCAAATCACTGGAGCAGCAGCTCTTACTCTTATCGTCGTTATCGATGTTATTTGTTCGTTACCGCGGTACGTCTATTATCGTTTGGTGCGATTTAAGCGTGCGCTTCCATTCATTTTTATTATACTTTGTATTAATGTTATCTGAAGTGTAATCGAATCGATACGCGTAAAAACTGCTACGAACGTATCGCAAGGTCTCGGGTCTTCCAATTCCGATCCAGGCAATTCCCGATTCCCTGGTTAGTCCGCGCGATCGGGCATGCATTCGATTCTTCGGAATGGAAAGTGACAGCGATTGGTCGAGCAAACGCGTCGCGATGCGCGCACGGGTTCCTCGTAGCGGATCACGGCGGAGCTGACGTCGCCAAAGACAATAGCCGCAGCTCGACCGTGTCGAGTCGTCGTTGCGCGCCGGATGCACATTATGCATCCCTGTCGATGCAGCTGCAGCAGCAGCACCACCGCCACCAGTAGCAGCCCCGGATTGACGTCACGGCGATTCTCCTTTTTTTTTTTCGAGGACCTCGCTCGTCCGCTCGTCTCCATCCGAATCGGTCTCGGTGTTTGTACGCGCGGCGAGTTTGCGCGCACGCGATTCTCTCGCAGCACGCGTTCCGCGTCCAGCGTACTTCTCGAGAAGGTCTTCCAGAATCCCGACGCGTCCACTTTGTGGAAAATTCACCGCTCGCTTCCACGCTACTTTCCCTCTCGGCGACGTTCCTGTTCGCGGATCGAGTTACGTATCCACGCGCGAGCCATGCCGCGTGCGTTTGCACTCGTTGCCCCAGTTGCATCGAGTCCGAACTAACGACGTGTCGTTTCTCAACGGATGGCTAAGCCGTCTATAGCTTATCGCGGGCTTTTCGCTTCTATTTCTGAAATTGGAATAGCTTCTTCGGCGCATAAATCGACGACGAAACGGGACCGTTCGAACAAGTGGTCGTCGACAAACGTACAGACTTCTTTACCGGCCGTTCCACAATCTTGAAGACTACGACGACAGGCGCTCCCTGCCAGTCGAATCGAGAAGCGCGTCTTACGGTTTTACAGTTTCCTCGTCGATCTTATCGTGCGCTCCTTCGCGAAAATCTGCAAGCACGCGGTCTCTTCGTCTCTTGGAGAGACAGAGCGGGCGTGACGTGAAAAGGGAGACCGTGATTCAAGGTCGGAAAGTGGTGACCTTGAGCAGGATTATTTTCCGCCTCGTGAACGGTACGCTAGATGAAACATACACCCACAATTTTCCGATAGTTCCATCTAGGTATACCTATAACGCAGGCCATCCTAGCAACCATCTTTATCTCCGGAAACACTTTTCCCCGAAAATCGTTGAGCCAGAATTCGGAACTCGTTCTTACCTGACCAAGACCTCGGCAAAGTTCAATTGTGATCTCGAAACAGGTGTACCGGTCGCAGCTGGTGCAGGTCGTTGACCGAGTTCGACACACTTTACACGGTCAACCCTCGGCTTTTACTTTTTCTCGAAAGAGCCATTGAGAGCGGTTCGAAGACCCGGTCAATCGCATCGGTTCGGAATCCCTTTCGGTTGCGGATGTCGTTTCGTATACCTCTTCGGACGTACCGATAAAACCTTCGAAACGAATCCGATTCACGTCCTCGTTACGCGTGCCACGGGCTTGTTCGTTTCAACATTTTACGATCAGGTTTTATTACATATCTTTACGTATAGCAATTCTGAGTTTTATTCGCGCGAATCGCTCGAAAAAACTAGCAACGGAGAACAGAGTCGGATGCCCATCGCCAGCTACGACTTCCTGTTTTGTCTAACGGTACGATTCACCGGTGATTCTTCCTCGGCGCTCCCAGCAGCTCATCTATCGATCTGCCTACCCATTTTCTTTCTTTTCTTTTTTTTTTGTTTTTAAATTAATCCGTTAATTTGTCAAAATTAGTCCACGTTTAGGGAGTGCATAGAATACGAGAACGCGGTGTTTGATAATTTCACATTGGCGGTTCGATAAACCTTTTAGGCGTTATTACATCGGAAGATAAAACAGCTAATACGAGACACACCCTTTGCTTGCCACCAGCCCTTTCTCGTCTGCTACGTACCGCACGCTTTTACTCCTCGTCTGCGGGAGGTTTTAACAGAATTGCTTCTTATCACGCGACCCTCCGTATTCCTCTCTTTTTTTTTTTTTATTTTCGATTCCACGGACGACCGGCGAGTACACGAACGAGTTTAATATTACCTGTCGAGTATGGATAAAAAGGTGTGCACTTTTTATTGAAAACGTCTACTCGGATAAAAATCGTAGTCATGCCATGGACGTGGTCCACCGTGTAACAAAAACGATTCTAATTTGCATGTCGACCGATTCGAAGGTCGTCGGCGATATCGTACCCGGCGGAATACATAATCGAAAAGGTCGTGTCTCGACCGATAATGAATCTCGCGGATACTAATTTCCGATCGCGGAAGCGGAAGAGACGTTGCTTCCACGGGACGGATGCGCAGATCAGTGCTTGAATTAATTATTCCCTCGCTCCATTCTGGTCGCACGAGTTCTGCCGTGAGTTTGCTCGAGTTCGTCGTCGTTCGGGCTTAACGTACATTGTCCCGATCGGATATTTATACGCCCGAGTTCGAATCGGTACCAGGCGTACGTTTCGAGGAAACATTTTGGGCCATGCATATTCAGCGTTTCGGTGGTCGTTCGCGATTCGCCGGTTGCGTGGAGCGTTTCGATCTGGAAGCGCGGTCTCGCTTTCGGAGTTTTACTTTCTTGAGTACGGATCGATGGCGGATGATTTCGCGGGAACGAACCAGACCGAATTCGAGTAACGCGTGTAGTTCTCGTGTTTCGTCGGCTGCGCCGTTTTCACGCTGAACGACACGCGATACGTTTCGGGATTTCGTCACGCATCCGAAATCTGGCGACGCGAGCGAGAGGACGACGCCTTCGACGATGACGGTTCCGCGGCCGTGAAGGCTCCGAGTTGCTTCACCGACGTGGGTGGAAATTTCGTATTCGTCGACCTTAACGATCGAGGAGAAACGAAGACGTGCCCACGTATAGCGATCTGGCATAAACAAACATTCTCGAGAACCTTCCAGATCGGAGTTTCGTCGATGATCGTTTCGGGACGCTAGAAAAACGTAGAACGCGTCGTTCGTCTAATTCGCTCCTTTCCTCTAACAAAACAAATAGTTGGTTAAGATTGAACAACGTTTAGGCACGATTAGCGAGGGTATTGAAGGCAACCCGTATCCGAGAGAACTAGTAGAAAAAACGTCGAGCAAAAAGGAGAAGAAAAGAGGACTCGAATGGCCATCGGTGGCAAAGGCCTGGCAAGTTGCAGGTAGGATATAGTCGCGATTCGCGAGCACGGGAGTGGGACGGACGGACGGAGGGAGGGAATGGGGGAGAGAGAGGGGGGGGAGGAAGTATCCGAGATAGTCGGATAGAGGAGTAGAGCAAAGAACGGCTCAGTCGAGAGTTGGACGTCCCCCCGTCGTTGTTGTTTCTGACTCGCGGTTCTCGTTAGCGGTCACGCGAGAAGGGACCGGTGCGAGTAATTACCGGGATTCGGTGATCCATCCGAATTGTTACGTAACACCGGCGATTTCCTCGAACCGCAGAGGCCGAATCCGCGTCGTTGGAACGATCGAGTCGAGTCGAGTCGAGTCGAGCAACTCTCGCTTCGCTTCGATTTCTGGCAGTGTTTCGGACAAGTTTCGCGCGACGAGAGGCGTTTGATTTACACCCAGCTGTGCTCCAAGTCGTTGCCGCGCTCGTCGTTCGAGCGCCTCGACTTATTTACGCGCGTTCAAAGTGCCGTATAAACACTCGAAAGTGACATGTAGCGCGCGTTGTCTGCGTGTTCAGGAGGAGGACGTACGCGTTCCATCTCGGTGGGACGCACAAGAAGCGCGTGCCAACTCGGAGTCGATACCCTCGACGCGGAACGGTGAAGTGGGTAGTTAAACGCTAGTCGTAAACTGGCGTTCGCCGCGAGTTCCTTAAAACATCCGACGTTTCGATGGAACAGAAGCCAAGTGGTTGCCCCGTGATCCGTGTTCTCCTCGAAAGCCTCGAGAAGAACTATCTCGGTCGCGATTTCTCGACGAGGGACAAGGTTTATCGTCGGACGTCGTCCCGCGACTTAAGGGAGAAAGCGAAGATCGTCGACGGAAAACGACGAGAGATGTTGGATACGCGACAGTTCGGATAGTAGGTGTCGCGTGCGGAAAATCGGTGAAAGACGAGCGATATTCGACGCGAAAAAATGGCGCTGATCACGTCCAGGAACAGCTCGCCCGTTGTACGGGACAAAGAGAGTATTCCGGCCTACGACGTAAGTATACGCAACACGTTACGCGATTATCTTCTCGCGCCTACTGCCGCATGGCGGTGGCACCACGCGCTGCTGCAGGTGCAGCTGCCCCGTATTCCGCAACTTTTATTCCGTGTACGCGATCGTGTTCGCGTACCGGGCAAAAGAAAAATATCGCGAAACGAAAACGTCGCTCGACGACGCTCTCGACTCGTGGAATGAGTTTCCAATTGATTACGGCCACGCGATAACTCGGGAAACGAGCGGTGCCGCGAGTCCAATTATTCTTCGAGAGCGATAAGGAAGTACCGGTTTCAACGTGTGCATGTTCCGTGCACGTATGCCAAAACGCATTTCCGTTGGCGTTAACAGGCACGTTGTTGTTACCGACAATCGCGTTATTTGCATTCCGCTCGGTCAGGATCATCGTCGCGGAATAGCAGTCTCTCATTGGTTTCGTCCTCTTCTTTCTCAATAAAATGTAAATCCTCGTAAAATTTCTTACGTATCGCGGCGAAACTCTTTGTGCGTTTTCAAACGATGTTACGAATTTATCTTCTGCCGTGAAAAGCTTGCATTA